AAATTTAACCTGACCGCTGATCTTGAAAAGAAGCTCCAATCAGTGGTTAACTGGATCAGAAAATGGCTTGTAAATTCTAATGCTTCCAAAACGAAACTGCTCTCATTTAACCACGACAGAAAAATTTCCTTGCCCTCCATCAACATGGCTGATGTTCGACTCCTCGAGAGCACCACACTGCACCTTTTTGGCCTCACGTTTTCAACTCACTTAAAGTGGATAACTACATTGAATCATTAGCTGCATCTACTGTAAGTAATGTTGGTTCATTGTGTCCTGTCAGAAGGATATTGTTGTCATATTGCACTTTCGCAAATCTGCCATTCGTCAGTGCATGGAATACTGTCGCCATATCTGGTTTGGTGCCTCTGCTATTCATCTAGAGATTCATGACAAAATCCAAAGAATGGTCTGCAATGTAATCGTTCCTGACTTGGCATCTCGTCTTCAGACACGTTCTCACGGTTTCCCTCTGTCTTTTCTTCAAATATTTTCATGGCAACAGCTCTGTTGTTATTAAATAGTAAACTCGGACTCTTCTAATCTAATTGTCATATAGCAGTAATGTAAAATAGTTGTTTTATTTTCGTCCAAGATACTTCTAATCTAATTGTCATATAGCAGTAATGTAATATTGTTATTAAATAGTAAACTCGGACTCTTCTAATCTAATTGTCATATAGCAGTAATGTAAAATAGTTATTTTATTTTCGGCCAAGATACTTCTAATCTAATTGTCATATAGCAGTAATGTAATATTGTTATTACATTTTGGTCCAAGATTCTTCTAATGTAATTGCCATATACCAGTGATGTAATATAGTTATTACATTATAGTTCGATATTACTATAATCTAATTGAGATAGAGCAGTAATATAATATAGTTATTACATAGCAGTCCTGGAATCTTATAATCTAATTGTCATATAGCAGTAATGTGATATAATTATTACTTAACAGTGATGTAATAAGTTGTTACATAGCAGTCCATGAATCTTCTAATCTAATTGTCATATAGCAGTAATGTTATATAGTTATTACATAGCAGTTAAAGGCACTTCTAATCTAACTGACATATAGCATTAATGTAATATAGTAACTACATATTAGTTCAGTCTTCTTGGATTTATGTGTATTTCTATTCTCTTTAAAACGTGTTGTGTTATAATTAATCTGGTATAAGATAATATGAGCCTGTAGCCGAATGCTTAGAATGTTTGCTGTCTGAACATAATTTCAATCTTGAATATGGCCGATCTGGAATCTGACTTCCTGGTGTTATTGGTCTGGCTAGGCGATCCAAGCGTTCACCAACTTCGAAAATGGCCTGAAAACCATATCGCAGTTTTACGCAAGCTTTGTGGGAGAAATTGACGAGCAAATCGACCATGGTGAGATCCACCCCAGGTCTCCTGATCAAAAAGGCGAACGCTTCTAACCTCTCGGCCACGTTCCCAATATACGTAACATCTATTAGCAAATGTATCAAATATCCTTAATTGTATGCGTGACAATTATTATGTATATCGTTGAATTTAAAACGTATCGTATAACACTTTTGACATAGATTAAATCTATCATAAACGATATGTCGTCTATCATGTTTCATTAAACGTGTCACACGCATGTTGCAACCCATGTATTATTAAATGTTACCTATGTATCATATATCAGGTGTAACAGCAAAATTGTCCAAATCGTGTTACAACATAATTTTACATCCCACAGAAATGATTGATATCTAAAAACACACCAAACTAATTGCGTTTCTTCTTTTCGGGTTTTCGGATAAGACATTTAGCCATCTTGACATCATTTGTCGTAAGAATCATTGAAAACCCCTTTGAGTTATTCAGCTACAAATAGAACGGGTTAAAATCGTTTTTGTCAGCCACACTGTCTTCCAAAATGAGCAATGGTGACAGGAAAAAAGATCATTCAGGCCTTCAGTAATGGTACTCTGGCTTCCATCATCAAAGTCCATTCAAGAACTATCAAGGTAACGTCGACTAAGTTTTAAAAAGAGTGAACAGTAGGGAGGAAAACTGGATCAGGAGGTCACAACAGGAAGAGGGATCATCATTTCAACTTAGAGCTAAAGAGATCAATTAGAAAAGATTCAACTCAATCCATAAGACGTTTGGCAAGTGAGAGAGAGGTTTCAGCTATGACAGTCCAAAGAGCGATGAAAAAAGACTTGAAATGAAATTGTACATGAAACCTGTGAAGCGCCTTGTTACTCCAAGATAGAAACTTAGAAGGCTAGAGAGGGATAAGATCATCTTGAATTAGCTTTAAAATGATCTCAGAATAATAATAATAATAATAATAACAACAATATATATATATATATATATATATATATATATATATATATTTGAACTTAATGTCAATCTTTCATGAGCATCCGATTCTTAGCTAGGATTAATTAATGATGAACATGTCATTTTCGTTTATGATCGATTTCATCACGATTCTTTTGTTAAGTTTGGAGAGAATTTATACATTCTTATTACTCCAGTAAGAGTCCAGTAGCGTTATGAAAACCTCGGAGAATTCCAGTAAGATATTTTAATCATTTCTAACGGTTCTGAGTTTAATCTAACAATTGGACAATTTTGTTGCTACAACCTGTATGTATATGGGTGGGCGGCCTAATAGAACCTTTACATTCCGGAGGTCACAGACTCAAATCTAGTTCTACCAACTAAAAACATTCAGATTCACTTTTTTTAAAAAATTAAGAAAAAAATTATACTTACTCTATACAAGGCCCAAGAACAACTCGGAGTAGAGTGCTACATAAGACAAATGCTTTATAAGGAAACGGAAACCTACTTCTACGCGTTCTAAGATGATAAACTACATGCAAAAGCAAAGAGGTTTTGAGGAGCGTAAAACCACATCTTAATTGCCGGTGTTCCAAGGTTCACCCTGTCCCGGGGTGGTAGTGTTACAGTTTTTTGTGTATATATGTAGGTAACTAGTGAGCGAGTCAAAATGACTTAATTCCCTTTATGGTCTACCAATAGAAGGTTGACGAATCAGAAGCCGCAGAACACTGTATCTGTCGTGTTTAAAGGCGGCTATCTTTGTTTACCTACCGGAATGACCAGAGCCAACTTGTCAGGCGAACATGACAGACGGAAGAACTACGCTCTGCTACTTTGCTGGGATATCCACTGCGAACCTGCACTACGCTTTCCTACTGTCTCCAAAATATTCACTGCCAACCTCTGGATTCTATACTCGAGGACGACCGTCAAAATGTCTAACAGGTAGCACCTGTTAAGGTCCCAGCTATGGGCTAATAGTTAACCCCCAAACTGAGATCAAATTACTATGAAAGTGTAAAACTAGGTTTTAATACCAGCAATAAATTTTTTGAGGAAAATTTATAACCAGCAATACATTTTTAAGAAAAAATATTACTATTTGATATCTTTAATCATTTCACCTCAAGCAAGGTGATGAAGCCACTAAGACACGAGAGGTAACTTGGGAGTAAAAGAAAATGAGAAAACGTTTGTAAGGTGAAAGGACAATAAAAGATTTGAAAATGACGATTGATATTGTATTTAAATTTTCAATGTTCGTAGTTGACATGAACCCAAAGAAAGAACGGAAGAGAGTTCCACAGGCGAACATTATTAGAAATGAACTTCCGGTTACATCTGGCTATTCGAATAGTAAAAAAAGATATAACCTAGCTGTCAATTTGGAACAACGCTTAAATTCATGCGGTCAAGGCTACAAAGAGGAGACATCATCAGAACAATTGCTATGAAAATATGTATCGAATAAGACATAGAGAATTTACATTACGGCTCCGAGAAAGGGATTGAAAACGAGATGCCAGGTCAGTACCGATAAAATTACAGACCCTTTTTGATCAAGAATCTCGAGATATATAATAATAGCTTAAGAGTCACACCCAAAAATACCTTAAATTGCGGCGTACAAATCGAGTTTTCAAGCCTAAAAAATCTTCCCAAAACAAGCGGTCGATTGATATGGCGCGTATAATACGCAAACCTTTACCTTATTTTTCTTTGTATGTGCCATGTCCTTTCAGGACGTAGGCGATCATGACTCTCCACTTCTCTCTATCCCTTGTGGCTCTCAATAGGTTTCGTCCTTCTGCCACTTCCCCGTTCTATCATCCACTTGCTTAAGCCCGCCAGGATTGCCATGTGCTGCTTTCCTTTGTCTCTCTGTCCTTCTTTCGATCTAGTCGACCAGATTTTCCAGTCCCTCCTTTCTCGTTACGTGAACCAGAAACTTCAGCTGCCTCTTCCTGGTGTTAAATATAAGCCTCCTCTTTGCATCCTCTCCAAGACCTCATCGTTGCTCGCACGTTCGTTCCATGATATCCTCAGCATCATTGTGTAGAACCACATTTCCGTCGCCTTGAGTCTCTCCTTCAATAGTGAAGAGACTGTCCAACATTCGCTGCCGTGACAGATGTCACTTAACAGCTCAATTACTCTTTTCTTTGATACCAAGTAAAATCTCCTGTCTTTCTATGCATTACAGACCCTTTTTGATCAACAATCTTGAGATATACAATAGTAATCTAAGAGACACAGCCACAAATACAATCCGAAACGTGAAATATGGAATGATCTTCTTTGGATCAATTGAATGTCGGGCGCCTAGAAATCAGACGACGGGATTTCTACATCTGCTTCTGGATTGACAAAAAGAGAGAATTTTAAATCTGAAAAATCTTACAGTCAAATTTGTTTGGATTCAAACGTCACACCGTCAGATTACAGAGGAATAGGTCACAGGGTCAGGGTTTTCAATTACGCTGTAACAAAGTCAGCTAAACACAGCCGACTAAAGACGCAATCTAACCAATCGTTTTACGTTGTATGTTTTGCTAAAATGCAAACTAAAAATAAATGTTAATAAAATATTTTTTTTACCAAATTCTGATGGCAATAATAATATATCACGATCTCTCTCGCTCTATCGCTCTTTCGATTTCTCTCACATGCGAGCTCTCTCTCTCTCTCTCCCTTGCACATTCTCTCTCACGCTCTCTCTCTCTCGCGCGTGCGCGCGCGTTCTCTCCCTTTCTCGCTGTTTTTCTCTCGCTCTATCTATCGCTCTCTCTGTCGCGCGGGGTTTCTCTCGCTTCCTCTCTCCCCTCTTTAGCTCTCTTTCCCTCGCTCTATCTATGGCTCTCTCTCTTGTGCACTCTTTATCTCTCTCTCTTTGTCTCTCTCTCTCTCTCTCTCTCTCTCTCTCTCTCTTTGTATTCCTTCAGATCGTGGGAGATCATTATTCGCCAAAAAAAGTTATACCGATACCGATGACGTTTGCACATTTTCAAGGCAAGGCATTTATAAATAAATAAAAAAAACACTAAGTGCTGATAACTCTGTAAAAGTCATGGACTAGTGTGTTACTCCTTCTAAATCGATTCAAAAAATCAGTTTTTTTCTCATTCTGGCAAATATTCCGACTTGAAGAATATCTTGATAATACTAATTTACAAAATTATTTTTGGAAAACTTTTTCTTATTTATTATAAGTTGGTCAGTAATTTTACTTAGTGTACACCCTTCTGTATAAGCGCATTTCTGTTTCCTCATATCTCTTACTCTAATACCGTCCTGGGTATGACGATAAACTACATCCGACAGTAAGGCCTCTGATCACAGTGGTTTGAGCAGCGTGGAACCACCACGTAATTGCTGTTGTTCCCATGTCCTCCCTGACCAAGGGTGGTAGCACCTGTTAGGGTCCCAGCCATAGTCAAATAGTGACCACCCGAAATGCGTTTAAAACGTTATGAAAGTATAAAAATACATTTTCATAGGAAAAAATTTGCAGTAATAGATTTTTGAAAAATAAATGAAAACACTCGCCAGAAAATTAAATTTCGGTATTAAATAACCCAAAAGGTGTTAATATGTCGTTAAAAAAATAAATAAACCAAGCCAAACATACTCTAATTCATAACGATGAAGAGTTGGCCATTAAAATTTTGTTGATTTCGTTTCGCCCTCACTTGTTCACTCACATATTCTCATACGTAAACACACACAGTGGGCCCTGATGGGCTAATTTTGAAAATAGAGGTATGATGATGTATAACTTGACCCAATCTGTTTCTGATAAGTGATTAAGGTCTTTTTAGAAGTGTATAGCCAAGCTGATTTCATAAAAGGTGAAATTTCTCAAAAATTGGGGTTTGGGGGTAGGATTTCCTTATTTGGGCATTACCGTCCAAGGTACAAAAATCGAATTATTGAGGAGGAAGATTTTGAAAATTCTGAAAGGGTCTAAGCAATACAACTTTGATATTGGTAACTTATGGTTTCTGGATCGTAGCCATTTTTATTACACCTTGAAAGTATCTCTATACCGCTACTCAATATAAACACCCTACACTCGCCTACCCAATTTAGAAAATTCACCATAGCTGTTACCATGGGGATTTTGATTTCAATTTTAAAACAAGTAAATTTCAGATATACGTTATTCCAACAAAAATTTCGCTTGAGGATGGAACGGAGCCCATTTTACTTTCAACTCAATTTAATTTAAAGGATTATATTGAAGTTTTCGGCTCTTGTTTTGAAACATGAGACCTCTTATGTAGCTATTTGGAATCATATTCTTAAATAAATAATTATATTTATGCTCTATTTTTGTATCGAGCACTATTTTTTAAAAATAATAACTAAAATACTAAGGGACTTTGGATTATTTACCTAACCAGTTCCTTCCTATTTTCTATATATTTTCACACACATATATATTTATATATATATATATATATATATATATATAGAGAGAGAGAGAGAGAGAGAGAGAGAGAGAATTAATATAAGTTAAAGGTTTATCACTTAGCTGATTGATGTCAACTTAGCATCCCAACTCCAGAGTTTCGTAGACACACCCGTCCCGCCACTGGTCACCAATTGACTTCTTTTACTCCTCGATTTTACTTATATATATATATATATATATATATATATATATATATATATATATATATATATATATATAGTAGGGGAGTGTATATATGTATACAAAAAATATTGAAATGATAAGCTAGATTAATTTGATTTACGACACCCACTCATCCTAACACGTAGTTTTGTCTTTTATTTTATTTAGACAAAATTGATGATGCCAAAGAGAACATGAGTTTTCTTTGGCGAAACGCGTTTTTCATATAAAGAAATTTCCACTCCGTCCCATCTTCTTCATTAACAACCATAAATGTGAATGCTGGTTGATATTTGAAGAAGTAAGGGGGTACAAATGAAAACATTTGAAATTAAAAACTTTTCCATTTCATTGAATCAGACGTTAAACGCTTCTATATTCCCTTTTTCTTTCTTTCTTTCTTTATTTCTTTCTTTCTTTCTTTCTTTCTTCGGTTTTTCTTCCATTTTCTCATTGAAACCAAGTAGCGTTTTTTCCGTCTTTTCACGCGATCAAAACGGTATAGACCTTTATTTATGAGGTATTGTCATGACATAACCATCGTGCTAACTCATGTAGGTACAAAGAGAAGTATAAGATACATATGGAGAAGTGCGCTATATACCACTAAAAAAAGTGATGCCTGTAAAAACAGGAACCCACTCTGAAAATCAACTTTAGAAGCGGCATGTCTTTGAGAAAATATCCACGAATATTCTTCTATTTATGTTTTTGCAGGTTGAAGACTGAACGCATAAAACCTTCCGAAATACAAACGAGCGGAAGAAAAAAAATCCAGATCAAATTATAATTCTTTGCGCAGATATTGCCTGTCAACAATCTGCATTTTTTTTTTCGTTTTTATTTTCCTAAGAAGCGCTCGATTTTCACTGGTTAAGTCGGAGTTAAGTGGATAGGAATTAGGGAAAAAAACACTTTCTGTATAACTTTGCACTTAAAATGGACGATGTTGAGAGGAATCGGTACATACGTTTAATTTATAGGACAAAACGCTCTCATGTGCGCAAAATCGGGCACACTTAAAAAAAAAAAAAGAATAAAGTCAATTTTAAAATTTAATCCCTCAGACGAACTGCTTTAACCTAAGCCTATACAATGGTTGTAATGATTAAATATTTCCTATTGCTCTTAGATAGGCTTCATAAAATCTGAATCATCGAGCACTGAGTTTCTGAGGATGTCCGCAATTGGCAGATTATCATGATATGCCATTTCCTTTGAATCAGTATTATCATACATTATTTACATTATTCGGACTATTGTCCTCATCTTTGTCGCCATATTTATTACAACGTTTCGGCCGTTGTTCGCTCCGGCCTTCTTCAGGTAGTTGGAAAATCGAACTGAAACCTTTATTTCGCTCACTAGTGTAGACTGTTCTAGTTCCACGTGCCATGTCTAATGGATGTCAGTTATCAGTTATCTCCTGTTTATTCCCCTCTGAAAGTTCTCCACTGACTTAACCGAGTATTGAACTCTTCAAGGACCCATGGCACAGTGGATAAAGGTGTTAGTTAGATCCAGTGACAGGATCCAAAGAGTGTGAGTTCAATACACGTTTAAGGCAGTAATAATAATAATAATAATAATAATAATAATAATACAGGGATTTCCCGACTTACGGCGGAATTCCGTACCTACAATGCGTCGTAACACGATTTTCTGTATAAGTAGCACTTACGTCGTTCACCTATGCTAACGCAATAGTGAAGTAATAATCTAGGATATAATATATTTCTATGACATATCTTAACATAATTAGGACTAAAAGAACACCTGGAGGTCATAAACATAATACATTTGAAAAATGGTTCTTTTATTCCAGCCATCATCGCTTCTCAGCTTTTTGGCTGAGATGAAAGTGTAGTATCTGTCATCATCACACCCCACTTGCATGTTAGTATTTATAGTATAAATTATGATCTGCAGGTAGCATAGACTGTTAAGAATACACTACATTCTTTTTTCGCCGAATGTTACGTTTCCCATAGTAGTGTTTTACCATTAACGGTATTTCCTTTCAATCATGAAAATAATGCATATAATGAAATGAAATTATTTTAAGATGCTTATATATTTATTGTCAGTGATGTCATAGGCTCTCAGTAGATGATAGGACGAAGCATAAGATCCGTACGAAGAAGCAGCAGCAAATCTGGGAAAGAAAGAAAACAAACATAAATTTGTTTTTCGTTTTTATCAAGAATTCACCAAATTATAGTTTAACAAAAAAATGTCCTTATCACTTACAGGTAAACTCAATATGTATACACATATGTATATTGTTTAAATGTCAATCGCATGACTTCAGCCAAACAAATGGTCAATGTTTCTTCGATGTTTCTCTCTTTTTAGAGCGTTTAACAATGTTTAATTTCACTTCTAAGGCGGTAGAAGCACCAACAGCAGAAGATGTTAGACTGAGTTTGGGGTCCATAATGAAGGGCTGTAAGTTTCCACAAACACAACACAAACGAAAGAGAGTGAATACACAACAATCCAATATGGCGGACAACCAGGAACTGACACATGCCGACATATGTATGAGGAAAACGTCACAAGTACGTTCTAACCACGGATTGTCGTAAGCCGGGGACTTCCTATAATAATAATAGTAATAATAATAACAATAATAATAACTTTTTTAAAAATTATCATTTAATGACGTCATGCTGGATAGAAATGATCGTTCGGGTAAAATATTCCTAGACTTCGGTAGTGAACGTGAGGGGTAAAATTAACCCCCTCCTGGGAGGCCTCAACTTCACTAAAATGAAAAAGTGGTCGAGATTAAGGAGAATAAGATAATGATAGTAATAACTAAAGATATGGTTGCAGATATTTTGTTAAGTGAAAAAAAATTAGAGGATATATGTCTGGGAGATCAACGGGAGTTTTTGAAGTGATCTAAAGTGCCATTTGTTTATTTTTGTATGTTCCTATCGAAGTAATTATTCATTTCCGAGCGAGCTTCGTCAGTCTCACGACTTCACAAATAATGGACTATTCCGTTTTGATCGGGTGGGAAAAGTGTATCGAACGGAGTAAGTCAATCGCCAAAAATCCAGTTACCATAAATAAAATAACATCGTCCGCTGAATTATTTTTAAATAAATATTAAGAGAAATGTTCTTAAGACAGATATTTGTCTAGTTATTATTATTATTATTATTATTATTGATATTATTATTATTATTAATATTGATATTATTATTATTATTATTATTTTTATTTTCTTTGATTTCTGGCGTTTACATATTTCTTTCCGGGTCTCGCCCAGGGACCTAAGGTTAGAAATGGCATCATGAC